CTATTCCTCGTTGATTTGTATGAAAATCACTTAAAAATTTTTAAACAAAAATTCCTATTTTTTATTGTATATTCTTAGACATTTCTGAAATACATTATAAATTTTTTGTTCATTTTAAACTTTCCGAGGTATGTGTTTAAGCTTGAAAGTTAGGAATTACTGTATTGATCGATATTTTTATTAATTAATATTTTTCTAACGTATATCTGCTTTAATTAAGGGGCAAGCATATATATATATATATATATATGTAAGTATGTGTGTGTTTTGGTGCAAAATATTTAATATTGCAGAATAAAGTCACAAAATATTTTTAACAACTCTGTTTTTACCAATCATTTTGAATTTCAGATTTATTAAAAAAAAATAGCACGTCTATGATAAAGTAAAATTTATAATGAGAAAATTAACAAAAATTATCAAACACGCGTTGATTGCAGATTTTTATGGTATTGTCCGAACTGTGGCACAGTTTAACCATACACAGTTACGACAGTAGCCGAAATTCTTCGTACAATACTTTACGACGCATGCGTCAACTGTACTATCTAAAACATGGCGATGCCACAATAATAAGTGTATGTTTAGATTAAGGTTATATTTTTATATGATTAGTTATTCTGTGATTTATAGAAGTGAAATATTATTAGTAAAGATTATTTGTAAAGATTCTTTGATTGCGTTTTTTTTCTAATTTCTATTAAGCCAGAATAATGAGTAAAGGTGGATTTTCTTGTGTGATGTGTAAAAACATATCTGGACGAAATGCAGGAGTAAAGTTTTTTCGTTTTCCAAAAAATCCAGAAATGTAAGAAAAAATTTTCTCTATAAATATGCAGATTAATATAGTAGTTTATATAATGATATTAAAATTGTATAATTATATTTTTGCATAGGTCTGAATTATGGATTAAAGCTTGCAATCGTACAATTAATAGAACAACTGAAGAACTTTATAAGAATTATCGAATTTGTAGTGCTCATTTCGATGATAACATGTATCTTAATGATATAAAAACTAGACTTCTTCCTAGAGCTATACCAAATGTAACACAGACCACGTCAAATTCTACAGCAATTCCAAATTGTGACATTATTTCAAGAGGTAATATTCTGCTTTATATTTTACTGAATTGAATGATATTAATAACAAATACTTTTATCACAGAGAATATAGAATTTACGCAGAAGCTTCATCAAGAATCAGAAATAAAAACAAATAAATCATTACTTGAACAAATGAATGTAGGTGGAAGCAAGAATTCAAGTAAGTTTTAATTAAATATAGTATAAACAATAATTAGAAATAAATTAATAATTAGTAAAAATGTTTGATTGATCAAATATATATATATATATATACACTGGTCCAAAAAATTAAAGGATCACCTGTTCTAGCCTCCAAAAATAGGCAAAATTCAAGAGAGTGTAACTTCGTCAAAAATGATCGTATCGAGATGATCAAAAAAA